TATCAATGGCGCAGCAATGACAGAGCAGTTCTGGAGTTTTATTTGGTTTGCCAAGGGAGAAATAAGATGAGATCCGCCCCTGATAATCACCTGCGAATGACTCCCGGTTACAGTCAAGATGCTTTCCTGTCCTTTGCATATATCATTTCCTATGCCTAGAACTCCCTTCCTTCCTGTGACACCCAACAAACACCTACCCATTCATTCCCTCCTGTTTACTGAGCACCTACTATGAGCCAGGCCCTATTAGAGGCCCTAGAATAGAAAACAAGACAAACAAGAGTCCCTGCTCTCACACACCTGTGTCTTCTTCATGAGCCAGCTCAAACGTCACCTCTTCTAGAAGGCCTTCCTTAATTGCAGTAGGCAAAAAAAACAAACACAGAAACAAACAAACAAATCCCAGACCCTCTGTGCTCTGTGTTTTGTTCAAATCTGTTTCTGGTACCGGTACAATTGTTATTTGGTTGCACTCCCTCCTTTTTCATCTAAACTAAGCAACATGAGGGGAAAGAATGTTTCTTAATTATCTTTGAGTCTCCAGCGGCTGGCACAATGTATCACACACAACAGGCATTTGATAAATAGCCGCTGAAGGGTGGCAGGAATGAATAAATTCCCATGAGCGTTTAAAACAAGTGTCCTGGAGCGCCTGGGTGCTCAGTCGGTCGGTTAAGCGACTGACCCTTGATTTCGGCTCAGGTCACAATCTCAGGGTGGTGAGATTGAGCCCCACATCGGGCTCCACGCTGGGCGTGGAGCCTGCTTGGGATTTGAGATTTTTCTCTCTGCCCCACCCTCCCCCCTTTAATATAAATAAATTAAATAAATAAATAAATAAATAAATAAATAAATAAATAAATAAAACAGGTGTCCTGCAAACAGAGAGTTAGCAAGCAATAACTATTTGTCAATATCTCCTCCCCTTGGTTCCCAAAGATCTTAGAGACTGCGAGGGAGGGAGGGAATGTAGAAGGACCGGAAGGTGATGGTGGCCTGGCTGAAATACTTCACAGTGACAGAACTTCCAGTCACCAAACAAGCCACTGGAATGCTAAAGCTGCCTTAAAATCGACCTCACAATAACTTGGGGCCCTGCACTTTTAATTGCAGCCACATTGTTTAACACCTACATAAACACTGAGGCGCTGCCAAAGGGCTAAATGCCCTGCCCACAGGCCACCCAGATTCACGCCAGTCAGGATGAGCTTCCGAACCAACTTGCCACGCAATACTTGAGCTACGAGATAATGTCTCTCAACGTGGGCTCCAAGGCTCACCGGTATCAGAATTACCAGGGAGCCTGTAATAAATGCAGATTCCCATCCTCGCCCTCCACCTACTCAGACTCGGTGGCATAGAGAGCCAGGCATGTGCATTATAACAAGTTTCCAAGTGCATCTTTCACAAAGAAAGTTCCAGAATCACTTCTCTCCCCACGCATAGTTCTCTACACGTCCACTCTGCCAGTCGTTGGCAGAAGAAGGGGCACCTAGGATGAGATATTCTCAAGTTAACAAAAGATACGTAAGACCGTGAATGCGTTAACTCGATGAGGGGGAGCCCTTTCACAATACGTGTCTACATCAAATCCTCACGTTGTACGCTTTAAGTACCTTACAACTTTGTCAATAACGCCTCAATAAGGCTGAAAAAAATATGAAAGTACAAAAAAGAAAAAAAAAAAGATCTGAAAGAGCAGGAGAAGTTGACAAACCTGGCTCTTCCTCCAGAGGGTATTTCCAAGAGGCGCAGTGACAATGAGCTAGCTACCCACAGAAAAATCCAGAAAGAGATGGAAAGTGAATCACTAGCCTAATATTTCTTTAATTTATAGGATATTAAGGAAAGAAAAGAAGAAAGTAGGCTCATCCAGATGTCTGCCAAGGGATTAAGACCAAGATCCAACAGCATAATTTCCTCACTAGGATGAAAGCGAGCAGATACTTTGGGCAGAGAGCAGGCTGTAGCTCTCATGACTGGCTCTTTGTGATGGAAATTCGACAAAAAAGTTGTGTGTGCTGGAGCCGAAACCACCTCTCTCCTCTGGCTATTTCAAAAAAACCAGACAGGAGATTCTCCTAACAGGCACAAGAGACACAGGAGTCCTGCCCGTCAGACCTCAAGGGAACATAGACAGGACCACTGGAGGGAAACAAAACAGAACCAAAAAAAAAAAAAAAAAAAGGAAGGAAAAACGATAGCTCTGTCAGTCGGTCAGTCAGCATTATCCAGGTACACATTAAACAACTAATGTACACGTCCAGTATTGTATTAAACTCTGCAGGGAGTTACAAATGGGGGAAAAAAAAAAAACAAAACTACTCCTTTCCACTAAAGAAAAATGTGTTTGTACTAACAGTGGAGACCGAACAAACATGCAAAAACAAGCCAAACATAAAATTACCTCAGAGTATACAGAGGCATATGTCAACCAGCCAAATAGTCTGAGGAATGTTCGGAGGGTTGAGAAAGGAAGACAAAAGGTGTTACCAGAATGACTGGAATAACTGGACTCGGGTCCCGGTCATCTGGAAAGAAAATCTTCACGAGGATCTACAGCGGGGAGGAACATACACGCACGACAAATCCGATGACACCGATGACGAAGTTGGCACATCTACGGCAAAGGCGCAAAAACCCAGGGAGCCTGGGGATCACCCCATGGGTAGGAGCCAGCGACGCACTGGTACTTGAAAGCAGGAACCGTGCTGGGTTTTATTAGCAGGTGCTGGGTATGGACTGGTAGGAGGCGCAGCGTCCAGTTTCAGAGGCTGTATGTTAAAAGGGTATGCAGGGGCGGGCCAGGAGCCAGAGGAAAGCAACAGAAATGCTTAGAGGAATGAATTCCAAAAGCTATCAAGAAAGGCGCAAAGGAGTTGAGGTCTGTCAGTTTCTGAGTTTGAGGTAAAAAGAAGAGAAAAAAATATTTATCTATATTGGTCATCTGATCAGCTCTGCCCAGCTTCTCTGTTTAAGTGACCACATAGTTACTCAGAGGATTAAAATGCTCTCCCCTTCCACACGGCCGGTTTCACCAAGAAGACGGAGACAGGAAAAGATGAGATAATTTGCTCAGGTTCCCATAGCAAGCCATGAGCAAAACTGGCATCATAAGGTTCAACCCCAGGGCCGTCTGTGGGGTGTTTAACCCACCAATCCATGCCACTTCTCTTTATAATGGACGCCCCCAAAAGACTGTAACAATGGAAGATGGAAAAATTCTCTGCAGATTTCCTTGGGAGAGAAATAAAACAAACTAAAAAGGAATGTCATGCCTCACTGCTGAGGCCCATATAAACATCATCCTCTTGTGTCCCCCTGGACTGATGACACAGGACATGGTCCATCTGATAAGCTGTCAGCAGATGGCAGGATCCCTCATTGTACCCATTTACCCACCGATGTCAATTCCAAGCAGGAGCCGTTATCAGTGCTCCAGACAACAGATGGGGATGAGGAGGTGTGGCTGGTCTCAAGTCAAGGAGTTGGGCGGGGCGGGGGAGGGCAGGTTCACAAAAGGCCTAGTTCTCAAATCCATCAGGTCCTTCTCTAGAACAAATCCATCACGGGGCGAACGGAACACACCACTGTTTATTCAGGTCGTTCCAAACGGTGTCACAAAAAGCTCAGGACCGTTTTGAATATGTGCCATTCTTCCACTTTCGGCAAGGAAGGAGGAAGTAGGAAAACCAAACAGTGAAGCCAAAGCACGCCAGCCACATTAGGTGGAAATTAGGCTTTGAATAGAGTGTAAAGGAGGTAGGGCGCTGACAGCAAAGGCAACTCTAAAAAAATAAATAAATAAATAAGGATGGGGCTCACTCAGAATTACTGGCTGAAACCCAGTGGCTTGGGGCTCTGGGGTCTATGGCATCGACTGTTAATTTGGCAAATATCCAGCTTGTTTCCAGCCTGCCTCATGTTGTGCCCCACTAAGTTTGGTGCCCAATCAGGAGACGTCAACACAGACACATTCAGAGCCAATGGGAATTGGACAATTCGAAAAGACATCCAAAATGGGATCTTTCTGTTCCATTCCTAGGACAGAGACAAGGTGGCAGGATGCAAGGGTGATAAAGGGCCACTAGCTGAAGAACACCAGTCTTTGCAGATACAACCAGTCAAAGTTCTAGCTTTTTAACCCTCCTGCTGAGAAGTTGTAGACTTGGGGACTTAAGTGGCTACGAGAATCGCTTTCTGCTAAGGCCTCGATTCCCACAGTGGCAGCTATGTTAAAGCCACCTCTGCCATGAAGTTGCTGGGTGATTTCTGGCAAATAGCATAATCGCTGCATAAATTCATTCCCTGTCACTCCTACCTGCCAAAATAATATGCACGAAGGAAGGAAGTAGCCAGGCTTGAAGAAATACTTATTGGTGTAATTGGGAAACACCCCTGATGTTCACCAAGGGGCTTAACAACAGTGTGTGATTCTTGCTTGGCCCTTGCTGACCCTGAGAACCCTCCCACGTCTCTGGCTCAAGCTGAGATGGGAGACGCTGGCACTTGGATCACACAAACCGCTATCACCCACAGTCCCGGGGCCTTCAAGAAAGCAGATGAGACCAAAAAGAAACCGGGCAGCAGGAATATTAATCAAGACCAGAACTCAGCCACAAAAACGGCCCTTCCTTATGCTTCTAAAGCTGGCAGTCACCCAAGAGCAGCATGGCTATGATGAGGGGCCTTGGGAATAAATATTTTACAGACTGAAAAATGGGAGATGGGGAGAGTAACCAATTTCCCTCCAACTCTTCCACTTCCTGGCCTAAAGCAATGCTGTCCTTGTTATAAACTTACGTGGACTCAGAGGAACAAGGCCTTTCTATGAAGCCCAAATTGAGTCACCCTGTGGAGAGAAACACATCAGAAATGTTTCTGCTAAGCTGTCCCTTTCATTTCAGCCAATGTGTCCCTTGCCTTTTCAGGACCTCTGAACTCCACAGAATGTCCTGCCATCGTGCAGCCTAATTCAGCAAGTTCACTTGCCAAAGCGTTTGTCTGTACTCGACATCGCCCCTTTGGAATATACACAGCGGCAGGAAACATTTTAACGTCTCTTTTTCCAGGCCCCGGCTAACCTATCATGACCCTAAACAAGATCATGTCCATGAAAGTGCCTTATAAACAGTAAAGTGCCAGATAAGTGTAAGGTATTATTAACCAGACTTGCTATCTTTAGTCCTTGCTGCAGTCAAGTCGGAAAACTGTTTCCAACCATCTGTTGTTAATTTTTCTTTAAGGACTCACAGCAACTTTTTTAAAAATCCATACTTCCCTGCTCCCCAGGAAGAGCCACAGGCAGGGTATGGGATGTGGGACTGACCAAAGGCCGGGGCGCAGCAGGCCTGAGGTGACTATTTAAATGACACAAAGCAGTGACAGGGGTAAAGAGCAAAGGAGAATAACCCTGGTCAGGCTGAAGCATTCCTCAGCATGACTCTGTTCTCTGCCTCGGCCCTAGGGCTTCAGAGTTTAAGGAATGCACAGGACAAAAGAAAAAACACAGGTGACAGGAATCAGTCCCTAGACAGCCCCCTCACCTCCCGACCAAGCATCCATCCCTCTGCAGCCGCCAGCCCCAAGTGCCCTCATCATCTACACGTGTGCCCAAGGGTGGCCTGGTCAGGCTGACTTTACTGGGGAGATACAGGAAGCAGAAGATGAACAAGGCCACCTGACCTCAGCAAAGAAGAAACGAGTTTCCCTTTTTCCACACGAGGAGGCCAAAAGCATTTCCAGAATGGCTCTCTGTTGCATCCCTGGCCGCCACTAAAGGAGAAAAGAATCAGAGAACGCTGACTGCCCAGAGCTGGGAATGCAGCTCTGTGGCATTTTGCAGATGGGCAAACTGAGGTCCAGCAAGTGTCTTTTTCCTCAAAGTCACACAACTAATTAATGCCAGAACCACATCTCCAGAGGCTTCTGAAAGCTTCTAAAAACCTTTCCACTGAAAACCCTGGTGCTGCCAGGTTTGATGTCATCACACCAGCAGCAGCCCCAGTCAGGCTGAATTTAGTCCTTTGTTGACCTTCTAGATACGTGGCTGCCAGAGGCCTCAAGACCCCTTTGTGGAAGAGGCACCCTCTGACCCTCACCACCTGCCACCCAAAAAAAGCACTCCTGTCCCAAGAGCCTCACATAGCAGCGGCTGAGATGCGTTGTTTCCTCTCATTAACAAAAAGCCCATTCATAAAAAAGAAAGAAAGGACTGGCTCAAATTTACCCAGAAGGTCTAGCTGGGAGAGCCCTGGGCTTCCTGTGAATGGCATCACATCCCAAGAAGCCCTCTCTTAAAAAAAGAAAAAAATGCTGCCCTCCGGCCCTGCTCCGTGCTGCCAGCCGCCCGACCAACAACACCCTCTTTATTCCACAGCTGTCCACACCTCCCTGCCACGCCTGTAAAGACGGGAAGGGGCTCAAGGCCGCTGACCACATTTTACAGATTGGGAAACTGAGGCCAAGAACCTGCCATCAAAGGAGTGCCTAGAACACAGACCGAGCAAGTAGGCAGCGCCATGCTGATCAGCCTCGGCTTCTCCCCTGAGACAGCCCTGTCATTCCACCGACAGCCGACAACCCCAAAGAGGGTGGGTTAGCTTTCCAACCCAGACGCTAATTCATCTTTGGGCTGCAGGCAAGCGACCTCCCGCCCCTGGGCCCCACCAGGCCCGTAAAACCAAGATAATAATCTCAACCTCCTGCCCCGCACAGGACTGTCACAAGTCTCCTGAGACTAACCTTCTACAAATATAAAAGCAATAAAGATGCTAATGACAGGTTTCCAAACTGTCCCTGAATAAAACACACCAGGTTTCTCACAGCCTGAAATCTAAAAAAGATTTTTTTTTTTTCCCTTTTCTCCTCTTCCTCCTCCTCCATGATTTTATAGTTTTAGAACATCGCTCCACACAGGCTGAGTACAGAAAGACAGTCTCGCTCTTGGTCCTCACCCAGATTATTTTTATGTATCTGGCAACTTTCCTTTTCAGTCCCATTTGTTTTTCTTAGCACCGCTAATGGGAGGTAAAGAAATCAGCTCTCTGAGCGCCCCAGACCATGACCACAGGGAACAGAGTAAGAGCAAGAAGATGGAGAGGTCTGCAAAAAATAAACAACCCTCTCACCATGGATAGAGATGACCAGCCCAAAGTTCACGAGTCAGCCTGTTTCAGAGCGCACTTAGTAGGAGCTTGGTGCTGCTCCAACACCTGAGTTCCAAGGCAGACCTTGCTCAAGCATGAAAGTCCCAAATGAAAGAGTCATTAAGGGAAACCCATAAAAGTATTTCCCCAAAGTAGCACAGTGGGGACAAGGAACCTTATGTGACCACCTCCAGGAAAGAGTGTCATCAGGCCTCTGGGAAATTAACTGCAGCAGAGGGGATGGGGGCAGGCCGTGGACCCCCCATGTGACTCAGAACGGGCACCGGGCTGGGGCTGCACTTCCGGCTTGTGAAAGGCCAGGGCAGGGCTGGGGGTGGGGGGGGGGGGGGGGGACAGCCCACCAGAGTGCCAGTGGGTTCCTAGGAACATAGTGACAGAGCCCTTGGAAAATCATTTTTAAGGGTCCCACTTCCCGCCGGATGAAGTGCCCTACACTTCCGAGTGTCCTGAGCACACAAAATGACTCTTATCACTAAGGCTGCCAGGGAAAAAGTCAACAGACTCACATGCATCATGGTGACCAGGTGACAGGGGTTGAGCAGGTAGATGACGGTCTTGGTGGCGAACTTAAAGCCCACCTCCACCCCGAAGGTCAGGCACAGGGCTACTAAGAGCAGATTCTTGCTCAGGCTCTCCTTGCCTTCCTCTGGCCGCAGGGTCACCTTATCTGGCTGGCAGCCACGGCCACCCCTACCGTCCTCCTTCGTCTGCCTCAGGATGTGCCGCAGGGCCACCAGGATCTCCAACAGGGCCAGGGTCAGGACCACCACACTTTCCAGCAGCCGCTGCTGCCAAGGGAGGAAGGCAGCACAGTCGGGGCCCCCATTGCCTGCAAAGCTGGGGTCCACGCCCCCATAGAGCCAGTCCAGGAGACTTTGGTAGCTATACCGGGACATGATGCCAAGTGGTTCCCCTCGACCACCGTGCAGGAAGCGAGAGCGAGATGGAACACAAGCCCCGAGGGTTGCCTGGGTGCTGGGACGTGTACGGAGGGCACACCCCCGCACCCGCACCCCCCTCCTCCGGACACCGGGGCACCTAGAGCAGGGGGGAAGGAAGCTACACGCGAGGCCCGGGGTCAAGTGCTGGCTCTAACTTGTCCCCACGGCTGTCTGGGGAGCCCCCCGCGCTTCTCCAGTGGCCACCAACGAGGCAGGGTTGAAAGGAGCCGTTGGCCAATCTAAAAGGAAGGAGAGGAAGAAAAAAAAAAAAAAGGTCTCAAAGAGGCAATTGCATCGGGAATTACGAAGCGGGGCGGGCTAACTAGCGAGGGCAGAAAAGGGGAACAGGGGCAGTGGCGAAGCAGGCAGGGGTCAGGGGAAGCCGGAGGCCGGGAGGGTCAGGGCGAGGGCCGAGGGGACCCGGCAGTGCCGCGGGAGCCAACCGGGGAGCGGCGGGGGTGAGAGCGAGGGGACACGCGGAGGCCAGGAGAGGAGCTAGCGGGGCCGGGCAGGCGGGGAGGGCGACGGGGATGGCAGGGACGCCGGACTCCTCGTCTCACGCACTCGCCACAGGGGGATCTCTTACTCCTGCAACCGCGTGGCCGTCTCTGCCCCCAGCTAGCAACTTCGCCGCCGACGGGCCTCTCCGGCCAATTTAGCGCGGTCCCGGGCCGGCCGCCCGCCCCCGGGTCCACCCCCGAGTCCCCAGCTCCACCCCCGGCCCCAGACGCCCGCCCTCGGGCAGCACCTCCCCCCCCCGCCCCGCCCGCCGCCCGCCCCGGGCCCGCCCCCCCGGGGGCAGGGGAGGGGGGGGGGGACCCCGGGGGGGGGGGGGGGGGGGGGGGGGGGGCGGGAGGCCGGGCCAGCCGGGGGCTGGGCTTCGGCCGGCCCCCTCCCTCCGCCCCGGCGCCGCATCTGCCCGCGCCTCCCGCCCGGCCCGGGAACCGGCCGCCGCGCCCCTCGGGGCTCCACTCACCCGCAGCTCGGCCCGCGGCCCGGGGTCGGCGGCCGCTCGGCTCCCGCGCTCCGTGCGCTCCCCGCGCCCCGGCGCTCGGCTCCCCCGGCGGCCGCAGCTGCCGCCGCCGCCACCGCGCGCGGCTCCTCCTCCCCGTCTTCCTCCCCCTGCAGCGGCCGCGCTCGCTTCCTCCTTCTTCCCCTCCCTCTCTCCTCCCCCCCGCCGCCGCCACCCCCCCCCCCCCCCCCACCCCCGGCGTCCCGCGCAGCCTCGCGGCCCCCCCCTCCCCGCTCCAAGCCCTCGGGCCGCGACTGCCCCGCCTCGCCGCCTCCCCGCCGCGACCTCCCGCGCTCCCCCCGCCACCGCTCCCACCGTTCACACCTCCCACCCTCCCTCCCGGCCGTCCCTCCGCCCGGCCTCCCTCCTCCTCCCTCCTCCGGCCTCAGTCCCCGCCTCCTTCCCCTCCTCCCCGGCCTGCCTCGCGTTGGGCGCTCCTGGAGCCAGCACGCGTGCACCTCCACCTTCCTTCGCCGCCGTCTACGCAGTTCGCCCCCTCCGTGAAGCCTTCCTGGCCGCCTCCAGCTCCCGCGACGCGGTTCGCCTGGGCGCGTCTTCGTCCACGGAGCACATAGTAGGCGCTCAGCGGGCCATCACCAAGCTCGTGGGGGAATGAATCAGCCTGTCTAGCGCCGAGCTGCGGTGCCGGCTTTGCTTCACGGGGCGTTTGCTGGGCATGACCTTCTTCTCGGCGCGTCTCCGCCTTTCCGCCCTGAAACTAGACTCCTGCGGGACCGGGATGTCCCCTTCCCTTCCCTTCCGTAGCCACGGTCCCACTCCCCCACTTCAGCGCCAGGGGATGGAGGCCCCTTTGCCTCCTGCTCTGCTCCAGTTATTTTTCTCTTTACTCAGGCCGCAGGCGCTCCCTCTCCCGGCCCTCCTTCTCCCTTTTTTTCCTGCCATGCCCTCCGTGGTAGACTTACTGCAGGAAAAGAAGCTTCCCCTGACCTCCTTCCCTCCCCTCTCCCTGCAAGGGAGCTGCTGCTTCCCAACCCACGCGGGGCTGAGTGTCCTGCCCCTGGAGGCCAGCCAGGACAGTGGGGGGTGTGCAGGGGCCCAGGAATCGGATAAGAGCCTCTGATTGGAGCAAGGTTCCCTCTTCCTTGCTGTTTCCTACCCTCAGACTGTAGTTTGCTCTTCTTGGGACAAGAAAGCAGGAAAAGGACCTCAGCATCTACCTCATGTTGGTTTAATATTTATTGAAGACTCACAGTGAGTTAGGAGAATATCCAGAAAAACACAGTTAGGCACTTTGCCTAGGAAACACTTTCGGGTGTTGGCTGCAAGCCAGACTCAAAACATAAAATACAATCTACTGTATTATCAGGCCATTGTCCTCCCATCCTTTCCAAGTCTGGTTTTCCCGACAAAAAGAGCTTCAGAGCCAGGTAGCTTTATCTAATTCCAAGCTTTGTATGGTCTCTACCATAGGCCTGATGCTCTTCAAGTGCTAATTAATAAAGAACAAACAGCAACAAACAGGAATTGATTCTAGAGCTCACTCATTTATTCTCCTTAGGTGTTTTGTTAAATCCTCTGCAACATAACCAAGGAACATTTAAGGATCAGGTTGCGTCGCTCTTGGCAGAGACGGCGCAGCATCAGGAGACCTCAGGGTTCCTATCTCCGAGGAAGTGAGAATGAGGTTATAGAATTCAGTAAATGGCTTCATTAATCCCTCCGGTTTTCATGCTGAACCTTGGTTGGCAATTTGGCCGAGGGGGCCCTGTGTTTGCAAAATGATCCTCTTTAATGACTGTAGCCAGGCCAACTTCCACACCTGAGTCCCAAATTCCTCTTTTTCACAGATAGGAGAGTCCAGTGGTTCTAGGACCCGGGCTGTAATTCCCTTTAATTAAGTAATTAAGTAATTAATTAATTAATGCAACCTCTCTGTGTCTCAGTTTCCATTAACTGAGGGTTATTGGTTATTCTCCAATTCCTAGGATGATGCACTTGTAAATGAGTTGAATTACGTGGAACCCTCTGCATTATCGGGTGCAGAGAAAGTGCTCAGTGAACCCTACCCATTATGGATACCCAGTTCTGCATCTGGGTGCACTGGAGCACAAGCAGGCCTACACCCTTGAGTTTAGTGCCCTCCCCCACATCTGCATAAACAGTCCTACCCATCCCTCAGATCCCAGGTGACATTGCTGTCTCCCCCAACCCCCAGCCCCAGCTCCCAGAGCTTTCTCCCTCCTCGGAACTTCTATAGCAGTTACTGCCTGCACTACTCATTTTATCCTGAATCACATACTGCCTCCCATTGTTCTCTCATTGTTAGTCCTGTCTCCCACACTCAGATATTTGACAGCAGGGGATGGGTCTTAATCTTTTCTAATCACCTCCCCCCACAGCACCCAGCGGCCTGGCAAATACAGGAGGCACGAGACAGACACTAGGAGATTTTTGTCCCCCTGGGTAAAAGGCAAGCCATAATTGAACCAAAATGGTGGGTCAAATTTTAGAAACTCGAAAAGACTCAGACAAAGGTCCCGATCGTTTCCTTGCTGGGACACAGGCCAGAGCCTTCTTGTCTCCAGTCACAAGAGCAAATGAACTTTACCTTTTAAGTGGAGCCTTGCAGGGCATGGTGAAATGGCAACCTGGAATCCAGGCTCCCTTCAGGGAGATCATGGGGGAAAATCAGCTCTCCTGGCTTCAGGGTACTGAAGGTGACAGTGGACCTTCGTGGTGGTAAAGGGAAGCAGAACTTGTCACCCCACCCCTTTGGCATAAGGAGTAGTTTAGGCTGATTATATTTTAAAAACAGCAGACACCAGAAAAGCTCTGAAAACTGAGAAGTTACCCTTTTGTAAGAGACATTTACAAGAGGAATCTCTTTTTGCCTTGGGTCCTTGACCTGCTGCCTTGACTTGCTGTCCTCATATTTGGCAGAAAGGGGCAAATCCCACCCTCTGCCTATTTCACAAGAATATGACTGGGACAAAGAAG